AGAAGAGGAAGGAGCTTGGAAGCATAAGGAAGGAGCATTGGAGACAAGAGGAAGCTTCGTGGAGGACAAAGATGTGTGAAAAATCGGATATGATTCAACCCGGAGATCATAAGAGATCAAATAAAGCAAGTGAACATGGGAAAATCAGATTATGTCTTAGACCCAACCACCCCACTTCTCATATAAAAACACATTTTTCCTTCCTATTTTAGATATCAATTAATCCACTCTTTCATATACACTTTATTCTTGTAATTTAGGTAGTCTTTTGATCTTGATTTTGCTACTTTGAAGCTTAATGAATTGTAAGTTGTGAGTTATTTTCTTTAATCTTCTTCCTTGAATATTAATTAATTTCTATTCCTATTTCATATTAATATTTTGAGCATTACTAAAAGGACCAACTAGTTTGTTTCATATATTAATCTAATTAATTTATATTCCTATTTCATATTAATATTTTGAGCATTACTTAAAGGATCAACTAGTTTTGTTTCATATATTAATCTATATATATAATAACAAAATAGTGGGAGGAGAGTTTGGGCAGGAGTACTGTAGCAATTATTTTATTTTATTTTTTTGTTTTTCGTTTTTAGGTTGGTGGGGTTGCATTAATTGTTTTGGATATCTACGCCCACCAGGTATGGCATTAAGTGTATTTCGTGCTGTAAAACTTATTGTTGTGTTTAATACGGAGTACTTCGTATGAAGTAAAAAATAAATGGGCCGCATTTTAGAAAGTCTGACAAGAATATAAGTTCGAAATGGTTATGAATGCAACTAACATAGGAAGTTCTAGAGTAAGAGCAATATATTACATTACATACATGTATTGATCCACTAACCAGAAAAAAGTATTGATAGTTGTTCAAATTAAATAAAATGTTCAAAAATTAGATACGATAGTATATTAAATGAGTTGCTAGAGAGCTAGCTGCACGGTCATCTTGCTACTGGCAACGATATGTGGTTTTTCAAATTCCCATTTCAAAATGCAATAAAAACTGCATAATAAATTTGACTTTTGGAATTTCAGTTGTACGTTGCCTATAAATTTACATTTGACACCTCAAGGACTTCCAATTAGAGTCACGTGATCTGCCTCTGCTCTAGCTAAAAAAAATGCTATTCAAGCAAGAGCTTCTTGACAATAAAATGGATCTTTAGACGTTTCATTAGCAACAATTGGTAAGAGCAATCTTTAGCTTCAAATTCTTGAAAAGATAAATGTATTTTGATACATTTTTTGCACGATAAAAAAGTAATTATTTAACGCGCAAAAACATAATCATCTTCGAATAAAAATGTGTTTTAATTTGTACGTGGTTGATATATACTTGATTGTCACATCATCATTTAAAAAATAAATGTTTCGTTTACAAAATTAATATTTAAGTACAAATATTTCATTGCTTTAACCCTACTCGGAGTGTATTGAGGATGGTATTTTAATCAGTATTTAAAACATATGCACTTAAATTTATACAACCATATTGTTTATTTAGTAAATATAACTCATTTAGCAAAATATAAAAAATTGTAAACCCGGTTTAAAATTGCCTTTGTAAAATATGCAAATATTGACTTTGCAAGATACATACGTAGTATTAGAGAACTTAAGAAAAATTTACACTATCGATATTCTTTGAGATCAATTTTAACTACTTTCAAATACTTTCCATCAACTATATATATCCTACATATTGCGTGAGTTGATCATTTTTCTCGGTATCATTATACATAATGTTAATCATTATGAACTCCAACACAGTTTAAAATGTTGTGCTTAAGAAACATGGTATAATTTGGGCTGACATAAGTTTCTTACTTGCAGATGGACAAAAAGGCTGGTAAAACAGCGTTTTGAGTGTACAAGTTGTCAGATATCATAACTTCATAAGCTTACTCCGGCTGCTGCAAGCCAGCATGTATCATTGGTTCAATTTTACACGCGCGTTTTATATTATAAATTGTAGCAACTGTTTAGTTAGATTACAAATTCACTTTAAGATGTGTTGTTTGGTAAAATACTATCGTATATGAGAATAGATATTTTGTATATACCTTTAGAGAGGCAAACAGCCTTGAAGATATTCTCTTTTTGGCACATTTTAATTTTTTTTCTTAAGAAAAAGTACTCACTAAAACAAGGAGTTGCTTCTTTGATGTATGGTGCATTATAGATACATGCCAAAGTAAAAATAAGTCAAAAAGATTATTTTCTTGCCACATCTCAAAGAGGTTTGAACAAAAGCCTCCCCTCTAACACTTTTTATGAATATAGATGACTCTAAATGTTAACAAGGTAAATTAAGTAGATTCATTGAATATCTTAAAAAGTGGCATGCCTTATGTAATGCAGTATATATATGGTTATAGGGAGAAGTGATCAGGTCCAGCCGGAGGGACGGGAAGCGCCGTCCGAACTCCGCCGTTTGGGGCGGTTCCCGGTGGAATTTTTTGATGAAATTTTTTGAGCATGTTATTCATCAAGTCTAGTTTGTCCATACCAAATTTCAGCTCAAAATTCGATCGGGAAGGTCGTCAAATGATTTTTGCAAGTTAACTGGTCCGGAAAATACATATTCCGGACCAGTTAACTTGCAAAAATCATTTGACGACCTTCCCGATCGAATTTTGAGCTAAAATTTGGTATGGACAAACTAGACTTGATGAAGAACATGCTCAAAAAATTCCACCGGGAACCGCCCCAAACGGCGGAGTTCGGACGGCGGCTGGACCGGGGAGGGCTGGACCTGATCTTTTTTGTGGTTATAGGTACATCCAATATTTTCCTTCGGTAAGAAAACTTAGTAAATCATGCTAATTGGATCCAACAATTATATTGCCTTGTTCAAATAAACGTTAAGTTTTCTCAACATTTCACTTGACATCACTTGACATCTATTATTTAAATCTTAAAGAACATTTTTAAATTTTATAGAATATAAATAGTTTTAATATGATATAATTAATAGCCCGTGCATCGCACAGGTACTATACTAGTTATTACTAGAATCGATCGATTAATACGCTTGTTATTAATTCGGTCCTCTCATGGTTAATAACCGAAGGAGAATTAATTATATTGATTAAACCGATAAACCGCTTGTGTTGAGGTTATCAATCTCAATCATTTTCATCTTGATTTTATTGCTACTACCGGGTTAATATACGGTGCGTGTTCTATATTAACTCAGTAGTAAGTTTTATTAATGAACGCGTCTCGTTATTAATAACTACCCTCGATTGAGTATTCGAGAGGAAGATAGTTAAAGATATAACCGGGATCGACGAACCAAGGCCAAAACTAATTACCTTTGATATTTTATTTCACTCATTTAAGTATTTTATGTGCTTTCTCAATTATCAAAATGTCCAATTCCCCCTTCCGTTTACTTTTATTTATTACGCTTACACATACGCGAAAAGCTCTTTTCCCTGTGGATACGAACTCAACGTTAATTGCAAGCATAAACCAAATTTAACATACTTCTATTTTGTACACCATAGTCATAAACAATCAAAATGTAAAGGATAAATCACAATTTATTGGTTTAGAACTTTTATCAAACACTTAGTGGGCATAGAAGTTCATCCCTTAGCCTCTAATGCTCATATTAATTACAAAAGTGTAACTAAGAACAATGTAATACAATAACATACAAGAAATATTACCTAGAACCAATTGTAGAGGAGAGAAATAGCTTCTTCTCCAACTCTTCAAGAAAATGCAAAAGTAAAATATAAAAATTGAATTTTTAGCTCCAAAGATGGAATGATAATCTTGTTTGAGGAATTGGAGGCTTTATATAGACTAAAGATTGACATCTTTTAGTCTATTCAAGCCCAACAATTAGGCATGGATGATATATTTTCTCAGATCATAAGGAAGGTGGGTTTTTTCCATCAAGAATCGGCTGCACGTTCCTTTGTATTTGCAGAATCGGACCTACCCGGCGCCGGGTTCAGACATGACCGGCGCCGGTTCTTTGTTGCGCACAAAAAATTCTCAAAAACTGGGGGACCTGGCGCTTGCCATCAGGCCTACCCGGCGCCGGGTAAGCTACTGGATAGCGTCCCAAGTCTGTGCAAAATGATGGGCCGCAGCCGGCTATAGGGGCAGCACGGCGCTGGGTATGTCCTTTTATGACATTCCTCCGTTTTTCGCTCCGTTTGACGCCAGTTGTTGACCCCGAAGTTCCGCTTCTTGGTCCCTTTTTCCCATTGACTCTCGTTTCTTCGTTTTTGACGCCTAAGTGCGTTTTTTCTCAAATTGGGATTTTTACCTGTTTTATCTTTGAATGTTTGTACAGATAATCATAATTACCAATATAAAATATAGGTAATTATTGTGCTTATCATATATGTGAATTGGTGATCTTAATGTGAAGGAAAAGGGGTGTATTTATAGCAAAATGGAGGTGACAAGGTGCTGTACTCGATCAAATATATGGGATATTCGACCGAGTACTAGAGGTAGTTTTCAGGAAATTGTGAAAAATAGGAAATTGTCAAATATTCAACCACGTTCTTTTGCTCCCAGATTTAATTTTGACCAGCGTATCCGGTTAATACTCGACCGAGTATTGGCAATACTCGGCCGAGTATTGAACGAATTTCAAAATCTTCATTTGATCTTCTCCTTTTTGCACATTCTTTGGTCTTTGGGATCCATCCTTTGATTCTTGGGATGATTTTGACCTGTCCTAAGCTCAGAATAACCCTAATCTAAATAAATTACAAATAATTAATGAAAATAAAATATTACACCAAAAGTGTGTAATTTCCACAACTAGAACTAATAAAAGTAGTTAGAAATACAAACATACACGATAGGAAATTCACACCATCAAAGGTCAAGAAGCTGATTTGTGAATTGACAGAGCCCGAAATACATAAATTTTCGGGCCTAGGGCAGTATCCCTTGTTGCCTCCCCCCCCCCCCCCCCCCCAAGACCGGCCCTTCGTACATACTACAACAATTTTTTTATTTGTACTGTTGCAATTAGTTTACCAGCTGATAAATTGAAACCATATTTTACTAAACCCACTAAAATAGTGAAACTATCAATACACTTGTAACAACATGAAACTTATCCATATGTAAATATAATGCATAAATCAAACATCGCCGCACACACTGGCCTACAATTGGGACTGCCATTAGAATAAATTTAGCACTTCCTAACAGAAAAGACCTCTAAAGTGTCAAAGTGATATGTCATATAACAAAGGCGTAGCCTCTTAAATATCAAACTTAACAGTCACAAAACCCAAAGTTTGTGGCGGGCTACAAATTGTCATACACAAAATGCCACTTTGTTCTCAAACACAAGTACGTTACAGAAATAGACAAACAAAAATGCCTCTTTATTTTTTTTTTTTTTTTTTTTTTTTTTTTTTATTAAGAAAAAATGCATTTTATTGATAAGAGAAAAACAGTACAATGCGAGAATAAAAAGAAAAGCAGTACAGAGAAAAAGTAAAATAAAGGAAAACATAAAACTAGTCCCAAGGAAAATCTCTGGATTGTGATCTAGTCGTCATGCTGTGACGCCTTTTGTTCTTTTGCGTTTTTCTGTAAATTTTGAGTTGTGTGTTTAAGTTGTCTGTTGGCAGACAATTTTCCGATGTGACGAATTTTGCTTTGCGGCAAATAGCCCTGTTGAGTTTGGAATTTCTAATTTCTTCCGGGTAGGAGATCGGAAGACGACGATCGCTTTCAGTTGCGTGTCCAAGAAAGTCATCTCTAAAGAAAGAGTCATCAGAATGGTCAAAACCATCTGAGGCATCTGAGTAAGCCTCGATCCGTGGTAGTTGTTTCATGGGAGTGAAAACCAGTTGATTCTCGATACTAGCCGCTTGGATTTGATAATTTAGAATCAGTTTAGAGATCGATGTGTTGTCCTCGATTTCATAGGTGCTCCTGTATTGCAAAGAGATTGAGTCGTCCTGCACAGACTCTGGTGGCCCTGCAAAATTAGAAAAAATATTGATGAATTTAAACAAGCTCGATTTTTTCGGTCCCACCGGAATTTGAGCGGAGCTCCCATGATTTTTAGCTAATTTCACATAGTCGCCTGATCTGTTAGTTTCCAAAGAAACTGTAATATCTCCAAATCGTTTACTCCGTGCCAATTTTGATGCAGAACTTGTGAGTTGAGACATAAAGCGAATGATTTGAGGAACAAGGTCAATTTTGAATTGAATCTTGTGTAGCTGAGATTTTTTGACTTCAAAAATAACCACTTCACCATTTTTGACCGCAAATTTAAAAACTTTTGACTCAATTTTGATTGAGTCAAATCCTTCTTGTCCAAAGAACATGAAATTTTCACAGCCCGGTTCGCCCAAAGCTGACTCAACCCGAATATCTTCTGTTCTGTTAAATTTCGTGACGGAGCAAGTAGCTGGCATGTCATTGTTGAGCGGATTTGAATTTGTGGCTGAGGAGGACTCTGCCGAGTTGGTACCAGGAGTGACAGAGGGTTTTATTTTTTTGTTGGATTTTAAAACATCAGCCCACGTGAAACTGAGCTCCTTGGGTATATTTCCACAGCTGTTACCATGTCCTGGTCGAATCGTCGGTGACCCCACTACAGCCGAGACAGCGATTTCCGGGACCGAATGGGATGGAGAAGCCGGTTTTGAGTCCTCTTGTCTTCTCGGCTTCATCACGCCGTTGCCACTACTCTGGAAAGCACTAGACGCTGAAGACCCCGATAGAGGGTCCGCGCCCAGTGAATCTGCCGTGTGTTTTGGCGCTATGGCCGTTCGCCTTGCCGACGATGAGGCTGCTGGTGTTCCCCTGTTGTGTCCTCTGTCAACTGCCTGTGAGTCGTCGACGGTTGGGAAGTCGGATATTCCCACTAAATCGTTTATGGCCAAGAGGTCCGGTTCATTTGTTAGTGGTGATAAAGAATTATACTTATCTTCTAGCTCTAACCTTTGGTGTCGATTGAAATTACCAGAAGCCCGTAGAATTTCTGGGTTGGGGGCCTTGGGGCGTTGATGAGCAGTGGAACATTGGTCTGGGCGAGCGTTGTGACGCCGTTTGGTGTATTTGACGATGCGCCAACCATCTGTATTTTCCCGTGTGTTGCGGAAGGAGTGGTGATCGGTCTGTACATCCCGTCGCCGTACCAGATGCCTCCTTGCCTCGAATACGTTGTCTTCCTTGGTCGTTTTTGAGTTTCTGCAATACCTGGGGGCTGTATAATGGGACTTGTGTTGTCTTAGTTGGTTGTGCCTGGGATGATATTCTTCAAACCAGCAGCACCTGGGATATGGGTAGCATTTGTTGCACCAAGAGGGTGTGTTGGGATAGTTGCAAAACCCCAAATCTATTCTAGGCGATTCCTCTTCATATATTGTACATCTCCCTGTTGAGTGTCTGAATTGGGGATGAAGCCCTTGTGTGTTGTATCGATTACCATTGAGAAAAAATTGTTGATTCCGGCGGCTGAAATGCCGGAAATCCATTGTCTTTAGAAATTGGTAGTAGGTGTTTTAGAGAGATGGGGGAGATTCTCTCTCTTCATATTTTCTCCACTGCTGCTCTTCACATACATATACATCAATGCTTTAAAATGCCTCTTTATTCTCACAAAAGAAAACCATTACAAGTGTTGGTCATACGACATTACTACTAAGCACAAATTTAGCTCCTAAATGGATGCATTGGAGGATACACCAATAGGTGGACTTTTTGGTGCTTCTGCTTGACATCTTCTTTTCTTTTTTTCCTTGCCACATGCTTCTTTGATTCTCTTGGTTCTCATTGAAGGTGTCAGTGATGGTTCTGCAGACGCTGTCTGTGTATCTAAGACTTTATTCGGGCACATTACTTTATTGTGTCCTTCCTCCTTACATACAGAACAACTCATGACTCTGCCTTTTCTTGAGATAGTTGTCCTTCCTTTTTTGAGACACTGACCCTTCATTAGCTTCACATCTTCTTTTTTTCTTGGGTCCTCCGAACATTTTTTTGGGGATTGGAGGTGCAATATCATTAGTCTGTGTCCTACTCCATAACAACTCTCCATTCATTGGCTGAAGATGATGATAATATATTCTTTGGTATACGTCCTTTGAATAGCATGCATGAATCGATTTAATCCTCTGGATCCCCGCATTTATCACAAATCGCACAGACAACATGTGGACAAGGAACCCCACTTAGTTCCCAAGCTCTACAAGAGTAGATTCTTCCTTCCCGCATGACTTTGTATTGATGGCTCCCATATGTAACCTCATACCCGTCATCACCATTAAAAACAACTTATTATGAAACAACATACATTAATAAGCAAAAAATTAAATAAAATACACCAACTAAATTCATACACTAACCTTCCAGCCCATGCGATGGTAGGTGTTGCATTTATCTTCTTCAATATTCAAGGGCCATTATTGGTTGCCCACCTATTCAAAAACTTTACCTTTTTAGCAATCCTCTTCATTGTGGCTATTCGTATTGCTTCTAACATAGGAATGTAGTATTAAAAGCTTCAGATAGGTTGTTGTCAACGACATCACATTTTACTCCAGTTCTGAAATACGATTTGCATCACTGACATGGGTCATAAACACCCATATCAGCCTTTGATGAAGCATCAATTTTCATCAAAGCTTGCATTTGCTCATGAAAATGGACTTCAGTTGTCCTTCTAGCTCACTTCCAAAAATATTTTTTAGCACCTTTCCCATGTGTTTCTTACTCCAATTTGCATATATATGTCTACAACAATTCCTATGCTCTGAACTTGGAAACAATTCCTTTATCACTTTAACTAAGCCCTGCACACATACTGTAATAGCCTATCGGTATGTAAAGTGTTTAACACATACTATAAACACTTAGTAATGCATTATTTAGGTTTTCTTCTAAATGCGTGAACTAATAACCTTTAATAACCGTTAATTATCAAACAAAATAATATTTATTGATTCCTTATATAATCTGGAAGACACGAACAACTCACTTGTATACTAAAACTTAAATGTCAGTGATTGACTAAATCTTACATAGGTGAGTAACTCTTAAATAATTAACTATTAACTCATTATATAATTTTAATAATACACTCATACCTTCTATTGGTCACTCAAAACTTCAATGAAATGTATTGTTGATTTGAAGGTCCTCTTTAAGCAACTTTAGAAACCACCTCCACGAGTCTGTATTTTTAATCTCCACGAATGCTCATGCTATAAGGTACATTTCATTATTTGCATCCCTACCCACTGCACTTAATATTTCACCTATAAACATTCCTTCAAGAAAACTGCCATCTAAGCCTATGATTTGACGACAACCTGATAAAAATCCTCTTTGTAGTGCCCCAAAACACACATACATGCGCTGAAACACCTCAGGACCCTCTTCAGTCACTCTCTGTATTATTACAATCACGGTACTCCTTGAATTTCACCTCAAACATGCACTCAACTCAATAGTCTCTGAGTCGTCTAAATTAATCATCAAATGATGCATTAGCTTTTTCCAATACCCTACCAATGACCCGTTTTGCCTTCGAGACATTCACACTTATTTTCAAGTCGTTCCGTTTTTCCTTTTACAGTTCAATTGGGCGTATGCATGGATTTTCTTTGATTTTATTCTTATGCTTATCTTATATCCATGCTTGACTTACAAGCTTCAACTTGAATTTTTGATTGCATTTGTGTGTACATACCCATGTCTTTAATTGGAAGCAGTGGTACTGGTTCGCCGTTGAAGCTGTGCATTTGAAAGGACAATTCATGGAACATGCTACTTGAACTCTCATCTGTCAATTCTTTACCCATATTGAGTCCCGTTTAAAATGAACTGCATAGTTGATCAAAGCAGTTTTGAACTCCCTCGCATCTTCAAACAACATTTCCAACTCAAGGTCTTTTGAATCTAAACTTTGGTTGTGCGATGGTACCTTCAATTTCTTCTTCACTTTTGAATCCGTCGGATTACCCTTTTTATTTTCCGAATCTGAGTGCAATCTGGGGGGGGGGTCTTCAGAGTCATAATACTCACTACCCTCTCCCTCACTGTGAAGTTCTGATTCCAACGTGTGACCAATCATGTTGTTGTTAACCCAATGCTTCCTAACATCCTTTATTTGCTCATCCGCTTCATCATCCTCAATATTTAAGTTTTCTTCATTCTCTAAGAAAGTCTAATTATCACGGGATTCATGGGATGGTAAATGCTCTTCATGTTCTTCACATTCTCCATTTCGTGCAACCACACTCGCTTTTCTAGTTTTGCACACTCACTGTGATGCTCATCTTCAAACGCTACATCTGTCTCACTTTCAACCCCTAAAGTTTTTTCATTTCCACCCACATTTAAAGTAGAAGGCAACCCTAAATGTTCAACAATTTCAGGTTCATCGATTTCATGCTGCACATACACTTCAACAGCACCATAGTTAAATTACATATCAATTAGTTGTAAAGTCGTAACATCATTCGCTAATGGCCTTAATGTATCTAGACTTTCGCAGGGTAATTTGAACAATAATGATTCCACTTGTTTATACATATCCTCTTCGATGTACTTCACCCAAGTGAGGGTATGATATCTTATGAGGGTCTAGAACAACACTCTCAACATGACCATTTATATATGCAAGATTTGGCATTCTCTTAAACTTTCTTCCATAATGTATTTTCAACTCTGCCTCCAAAAACATCCAGAAAAGCCAAAGATTGGGAAATACAGTAATGAAATTCGTTATTTCATTTTTATGTATAATAATGCCATTTGATGTTTGGATCACTAAACATATAGCTAACAATATACGAATTGCAAATTTAGCAAGAAACTACGTCATTCCAGACTTTGAGTATCTTAAACCCGCCCAAACACAATAAATGTAAATTACATATTTCATGCAAACTAAAAGACAGTGAAGTATATGCCGTGTGAAATATTTCACCTAAACCCAAACATATTTCAATTATATTTCAAAATCTTTCTCAACCACCCCTTGGTTGAAGAATTGCAATTCAGGATATTAAAGTAACTCACTTGCACTACAATGTCAGATAACGAATACAAACGAAACAAATGACATCCCAAGCAGCAAATGAACAACTGACTATCGATGTTCTCGACCTCAAGCAAAGAATTCGTCTTCGTTTAAAACCCTAGTCAGAGTCAGATAAGACGATTGATCCCTGTTTTCTTGTTTACCAGAAACGCTATGTTTGCCTAATTAACGACACCACAAGCGGATGACGTGGAAAAAAATAGTCAAGAGTGGCTAAAAAGAGAGCCTACGTAAGTTGTAACCGGGTTTAGCAGTTGTGTAGCATGTCATAATTAGATCTCATATGCTTGTGTTTTAAAAGTAAATATACCTTGATGACATTTTTATGAGTACATGGCCCTATGTGACCATTTGAAGAGAGTAGATGGTCTTATTTGGCCCACTTTTCCAAATTTAATCCCAGATCTTTACTATAAATAGTACACGATTAAAGAAAATTCTCAAACATTTAACTTTCAGCGGAAACTTCATAATTTATTTTGAAACAATTTAACTGAATTTGAAGAACGAAATAAATGGAAGGACAAAGGGTGAAGTTGTTACCCAACTAAATGTAAGGCTAATCAAATGTTAATCATATTACAAAATTTAAAAAAAAAATGCTAACTAGTGTTTTTAATAAAATTGTAAGCTTCTTAACTAAGATTCGGCGAGCGTTTGGATTTGGGGAGCGTGTGCCTAGTTAACCTGAAGTTGGGCATCCTCCTCATGGAGCTTCCGCTTTCCTTTGTTAGGGGCTGCATGTCCGCAGTCTGGGACACTGATCCTAGGCTCTCTTGCGGTGAGTTGAGCCTTCAGTCGCTAAGCTGTCCATCGAGTCTTTGAGACGCTGGATGACGTTGTGTGACTCCTAGTATTTGGAAAGTAGAACTTTGACCGCGTTCGTGGTAAAGATTGGCGTGAGAAGATGAGGCGGCTTTGTGTGATGTGGTGTCCTGCGGCGATGCCTTCGTCGTAGCGTATTTTAGGTAGTTTGTGGTGGGCACGGGTGGGGGAGGTGGCGGCACCGTATTTTCAGTTGTCTTAGGCAAGAGGGCACTAAGGAACATGGAATTCTAAGCGAGGCTCGCAATGATGATGGAGAGAGTCGCCTGCATGTCCATAGGGGAAGTGGTTTGCTAAACTTCCCTTCGATGCCGATGTTGGCGTCTGGGGTAGTGATGTTGATGTGGTTGCAAAGGTCAGGTACGGGGTCAACAATATTTTGGAGGTCAGCCTCTTAGGACGCCTTCTCGGCCATGGCGTCACCTGACTTCTCCTGCTGGATCTGAGGGTCCTGAAGGGCCTTGGACATGAAGTTCTGTTTCTTGCTCTCAATCAAAGTACCAAATGATAGAGTATAGTTTTAGAGATAAGTGAGAGAGAGAGAGAGAGGGAGAGAGATCGTTGCATTCAATATTCCAACCTCCTACATCTACCCCCAATGAGGGTATTTATAGAGACAATTTTGTTGGGCTCCCAGGGTTGAGCATGGGAGACCCAATTATAATGACGGGTCATTCAAATGTTGTTTATACGAATGGTAGCTATTCTAATAAGTACAACGTAAATGCTATCCGTTGTAGGTCCGGCCTGGCCGAGGTGACCAGAATGAGGACCCTAAGTCGAGGATCGGAGGGTCATGCCGTGGTAACTGTCCTTGAGCGAAGCTGCTTGATCCGTGTCTAGAGTTCATTTATGGGAACTTTCTGTGTAGATGGACCTCGTTTGGCCGAGGGGGTCTTTCCGAAGGGGTCTAGCCGAGGGACACTCTTAGTAGCTTAAGGTTTGTCTATGTATTCCTGAGTATTAAGCATATGGGCCATGAGCCTGGGCCTATATACTTTATCAAGTGTTGTGCGACAACGTCAGCGAGCAGACGGCTACAAGCGATGAGTGGCAGCGTCGACGAGCAAACATATAGAAGTGATGAGTGGCAGCGGCGGCGAGATAGAGAAATTACAAATGATGTCAAGGTTTATGGAAATCATTATAGGACCGCAAATGGCTCACAGAAATTTGGAGGTTAATTATATGAAGGGTATAAATATAATATTGGATCTTATTCAGTGAATCATTAATATATTCTTGTTTAAGATTTTTATAATATTTTAATTTTATTTAGAACAAATTCCTGTATTTTACAGAGTATTAGTTAGAGTAAATTGCCAAAATGGGACTAAAAGATTGGAGAATTGCAAAATCAGGAGCACCGTGT